CTGTAGGACCCGCCCTGCTCTGCTCTGATTGGCTAAAACTGTGACTCTGCTACTTTTTATTGGTTGAAAGCAGCGTCAGATAAATCCAGCTGGATAGAAGCCCCCCAAAAACACGTTTTATTTTCTCCTCCTTAAAACTTAAGACCCTTCAGTAACGTATTCAAGACTATCCACATTATTCACAAGTTCAATACTTTTACACACCCTTAACTTTAGACACGTAAATATAAGACTTTTGTAGGACCTGCGGACCCCCTGGCACCAGAGATGATGTCATTCTTGTTTTGTTCAGGCTGCAGGCTGAGTTCACCCACATCAAGTCTGATATGACCGTTGCCTTGGAAACAGAGAGGAAGGTGACCTCTGACCTGTCAGAGAGACTGGAGGAAGAGAAGAAACAACACGCACACACTCAGCAGGTCTGTCTCACACACACACACACACACACACACACACACACACACACACACACTGGTCTGGTGAAAACTGGAACCTGTTTGGTGACTTGGTTCCTCCAGGCAGCTGACAGGCAGCGGGACCTTCTGGACCAGATCAGAGAGACCCTGCAGAGACACCGGACCACAGCTGACAGGTCCGCACACGCAGCAAAGGATGATGGGAAACCCAGTCTGGCTCAGGTCCTGCAGCAGCTGACCACAACTCTGAACTGGTACCGGAGCAGCCTGGAGGACTCCAGCAGACAGGTAGTCTCTGTTCACCCATCAGACGGACCCGGTCTCCTCTGAGGGACTCAGGTCTGTGCTCGTTGTCCCTGCAGGTCCAGGACCAGCAGGAGGAGATCCAGCTCCTGCAGCAGCTGACCTCAGATCAGCAGAGACAAACTGACGTAAGATAAATGTTACAGCAGTACAAGGAACAGCCTTGTTGTTGGAGCTGAGCTGGTTCTGGTTCTGGTTCTGGTCCTCAGGAGGCCCGTCAGGAGTCACTCAAACTGGAGGAGGAGGTGACTCGTCTGCATCAGGAGGGCTCTGATTGCTCCATGCAGAATCAGCGTCTGCAGGAGGAGCTGCAGAAGAAGGAGGAGGAGCTGCAGAAGAAGGAGGAGGAGCTGCAGAGGAAAGAGGAGGAGCTGCAGAAGAAGGAGGAGGAGCTGCAGAGGAAAGAGGAGGAGCTTCAAAAGAAAGAGGAGGAGCTTCAGACAGAGAAGGAGG